GGACTGTCACACCGGCTGTCCAGGAAAGCCTGGAGATGCCTCTGACTGCCTCAGTGTCCCCGGGCCACACACTGGCAGTTGGAAGGCTGGATTGTCCTGTGGTCCCCACCTAAGGATCCTGACTCCAATGCCCCGTGGCTGCCCAGGGGGAGAATATGCCACTCGGGGCTCTGAGGAAGGACGTCCCCAGCGGGGTGATGGCCTTCACTGCCCCAGGAAGCTCAGTGGGCGGGAGGCCAGCTGGGGACAGAGGGCGGTGAGATGCTGCCTTTGCAGCCCGCAGTGCTCAGGGGTCTCTGAAGCCAGGCTCCGCAGGGACCCCGATCTTGTCCCCAGCCCGTGAGGAAGGGATCTTGCCCCCAACTCATCCTCCAAGGCGGGTCCTTCCCTGTGTCCCCTCTCACAGCTCCCCAAGGGGCCCTCGGCCCTCGGATCAGGACAGCACAGCCCGGGCAGGGCGACGGGCGTTTGGGCACGTGGGCGGCTGCGTCCATCTGCGCAGGCCGCGGGGAGCTGGGGGCAGGATGGCCGACCGACGGCTCCGAGGGGGCGATCGGGGGTCCGGCCGTGAGGCTGCTGGTGCGTCTGGCTGTGCACAGAGTCTGAGCGCCAGCGGGTGTCCCCGTGTGAGTGTGGCAGTGGGACACGGAGCCTCCCACTGGGCACGTGGGTGCTGGACACTGGGCCCCGTGATCTCCTGGTCATCTGGGGCTGTGGGTGGCCGTGCTCACCGGCCTGGCGGGTCTCCTGGCAATGGGTGTCCAACGGCGTCACCTGCTCTTGGCGGACACTGTGCGGACACTGGGTGGTTGTCATCACTCCACCGTGAGGCCTGTCTCACCACGGGGGTTGTGCACGTGGACACATGACCCCTCCTCTCCGGGTTGCCTGGCAACAGTTAGCTGACCAGGGCTGCCGGCCTTCTGGCCCGGGGGAGACAGCTTCAGCCGACCTCCCGCATCCCGCCAGTTCAGTGCCACCAGGGCTTGGCATTTCCCAACAATCCCCTGGGCAGCTGGCGCCTGGTTGGGACAAGATGTCTACCTCCCCAGAGCAGGGACAAGGCACCCGACAGACAGGAATGGCAGGGGTGGGGACCAGCCCAGCAGGGCCTCTCCCTGGGAAGCCAAGAGCTGGGGGACAATTATGCCCGATTTAGCCTGCAGCCAGGGAGAACACTGGTGTCTGGGTAGCATGCATCTCGGGTGGTCTTTGGGGTCCCCTTGCTGATCTGGGTCCTCCTTACCGTCACTGGGAGTCGCTCTGGCAGACATGACCTCGGGTGACTGAAGGTACCAGGGCATCGGCCGGGTCCCCTGCTCTTCATCCGGGGTCCCGTGGCCAAGTGCCCTGCCCTCCCCACTTCCCTTTCCTGGGCTCCGTCCGACAGCGGCACGTCAGCATGCATCTCCGATGGCCTTGAGTGGCCCAGCCCCAACGCAGGGCCCTGGAAGGTCTTCCAGCTGGTGCCACACCAGAAGGCCACGAACCCTTCATCGTCACCTGGAGAACAAGAAGCTGCCCTCCACGAAGCTCCTACTGCAACTGCACGCCCCTCGTCTTTGATGGGGGGCAAGTTCCCTCCTTCCAGAGCCTCGGTGTTCTCACCTGTAGAAGGGGAGCCTGGGAG